TCTGCCCCCCCAGGCCCCACTGCCCCCACCCACCCATCCCCCGTCCCCATTCCATCACCTGGACTTCAGCCACAGCCTGAGCTTTGGGGGAGGGGATGAAGAGGGGCCCCCAGGCTACCCTGACCCACTGGGGCCAGAGCATGGTTCCCCATTCCCCAACCTGTCCAAGAAGGATCTGGACCTCATGCTCCTGGATGACTCACTGCTACCACTGGCCTCAGACCCCCTCTTATCCACCATGTCCCCCGAGGCCTCCAAGGCCAGCAGCCGCCGGAGCAGCTTCAGCATGGAGGAGGGCGACGTGCTGTGACCCTGGCTGCCCCTGTGCCTCCCTCCCCCACATCAGGCTGCACTTGTGTGTGAAGTAGCCACCTGCCCTGCCTCACTCCTCCCTGTTGGCCCTGTTTGGACTTAGTGCCTGTCCGGCAGCCTGTGGGGTCAGCAGAAGCCCCCCACCTGGCTCAGTGCCCCCGGGAGCAGCCCTTCTGATGGGGCTGGGTGGGAATAGGCATTCAACTGGCTCCCGGAGGTGAAATCATGAGGGGGCAGGGAGGGGACAGGGTGGACTAGAGGTAAGAAGAGGTCCTAGTTGGGGGGTAGAGAGATAGGGGTCCTATCTTCTGAGCCTCATCCCCCCATTGCCAATGAAGGACAGGTTGGAGCAGGTGGTTCAGCAAGCTCCTTCTCTGAGGCAGCAACTGGCCCAGGGGGTGCCCAGGCCTGCCTTTCTGGGACTCAGATGGTGACAAGCACGTCCCTCAGCCTGGCACTCCCCCTGCCCTCCTGCAGGTGGGGCACCCACCCCCCTATGGTGCTAACAGCTCTCCACCAGGTGGTGTGAGGGCGGGGTGGGCGGAAGAGAGGGCGGGGCTGGGTTCTGGTTAGCTGTGGGATCACTGCTGGAAGAGCAGCTCCCCTCCAGACTTCCCACTTTGTGCCTTTAGTAAACACTGTGCTTTGTACATGCTTGTCCTGTGTCTTTGGAGCGGGCCTGGGGCTGACAGAAAATGGGAGGATTCAACCCAGCTGGCCCCTTTCTGGATTCCTAGTTCAGATGCCCCTGATGAGGGTCAGGATGGGGGCTACGGAGAGGAGGGAACCAGTCGGTCACCCGGATCCCCCCAGTCTCAGCCCTGTCCCAGGGAAACTGGAGATGCAGCCTTGCTTAAGGAGTTTGGGCACTGTTGGGGGCATAGTACCTCCTTATGGCCACAAGATGGCGATGCAGCCATGCTGGTCCCATGCCTCCAGTGTGGCCCGAGCCGCAGAGTCCAGGTTGCACTGTCCTTAGCTGCTTCTTTGGGTCAGCTTTGGACCAGGTTACCCCTGGCCCAGGTGGGGGGCATGTTTTTCCTGTTTTCCACCCCCAGTTCTGGTGGCGACCTCCCCAGATTCTCCCTGCTGTGTAGGTGGGCTGAACCCCAGCTAGAGAAGGCCTGGCTGGGTGC